TATTTTCAGTAAAATAAAATTTATAATTTATTTTTGTGAAATTTAAAGTTTTAGTAACTATCTGAAAAAAAAAAAACCCTACCAAATGAAGTGAAAATCTGGGACATTTTTCTGTGCGAACAGTACAGAAATAACAATAACAAATGTATTATTAACGTGCTTATACTAGTGTGTTTATAAATATATATAATATTGGTTGGAAATTTCACAATTATTCTTGAGATGTTTAAAAAAAATTTATGTTATTGGTTTTCATCTTTAAATGATCCCTTTGCTGTAAAATTTGTTTGAATATTTTGCTTAACAGATGCAATTTTGTTATGTTCTAACGTGTGCTAATAGATAAAACACGGAGCATTTGGGATATAAAGTATTTCATAGGTGAATAGATTGTAGATCTATATTACTTGTAGGCTTAAAATCAAAGTGTAAGGAGACATTGTATTCAAACACTGCACCTATATCAGTACAGTCAAGAAATGTATAAAAACTGTAAATATTGTTTCGTTGTTTTAGAATTATAATTATGACCAGGATAAAGACGTGAGAATCAACATTTTAATTTCACACGATGGTTTGTTAATAAATTATTTAGATATAATACAAATTATTCAATATTATTTTTGTTAACTTCAGAAAATAAGATTTCTACTGAATAAAATGGACAGAGTCACTTTGGAAGATAACTATTTGTATAAGTAGTTATTTTTCTTGTAGTCTAAACTTTGTTTTTATTGAGATTTTCTCGTAGAACACTAAAAATGCTTGGTAATATACAAGGAAAATATTAAGTTCTAATTAACAACAACAAATGTAATATTAATGTGCTTATACTTTTTGGTAATAAACAGGAAAAAAATCCATGAAATAGCTGCTCTCAATTATTTATTTATCAGGAGTGCCATTTCAGATTTCGAAGGAGTGGGGTGGGGAACTTTTATTGGACGTCCAGAGCAGTTAGTCCTCTGGATGGTATTATTAGATTTGTGTATGGTTAAAATGTAAAAATCAGTTTATTTTGCTCTGATAATTTTCTGTATTATTTAATAACATTTGATATATATGTAAATGTACTGTTCCTAAAGTAAATAATGTCATTAAGTAAGAGGGGTAATTTCCTCCCTAAATGGTGCCCCTGGTTTTTATTACCTTAAACCTACAACTAAGGACTATTATCCCACATTGAAGATGGTGGATGGGACTACTAGGGACTATAATTCCACACTGAAGATGATGGAGGGGACAACTAAGGACTATTATCCCACATTGAAGATGATGGAGGGGACAACTAAGGACTATTATCCCACTCTGTATATGGTGGATGGGACTACTAGGGACTATTATCCCACATTGAAGATGATGGAGGGGACAACTAAGGACTATTATTCCACACTGAAGATGATGGATGGGACAGCTAAGGACTATTATCCCACACTTTATATGGTGGATGGGATTACTAGGGACTATAATTCCACACTGTATATGGTGGATGGGACTACTAGGGACTATAATTCCACATTGAAGATGGTGGACAGGATTACTAGGGACTATTATCCCACACTTTATATGGTGGATGAGACTACTAGGGACTATAATTCCACATTCAAGATGGTGGATGACATTACTAGGGACTATAATTCCACACTGAAGATGATGGAGGGGACTTGTGAAGATATAAAAAATGACTTTCTTTCTGAGAACATGGAGTACATCTAGTGCAGTATCACTTGGTGGGTGACCTTGTAAATCTGAAGTAGGTAATACTCTTTGCCCAATAAAGGTGGTAGATGAAAAGATACTACCACAAGCACTTTTTTGTGTTGTTAAAGTGTCACTTAGGGACTGTAAAAATTTTCAACTAGTCACTATATCACGGCCGGTTGGCCGAGGCTAATTGTGGCTAGGGCCATAAGTTCCAATTTGAAGATATACTTATGTGAGGAATTTCCAAGAATATTCAGGTACGGGGGGGAGATTATCCCCCAGACCTGCATCTAAAGAAGAACATAAGACCTATCCAGCTGACCTAACCACCAAGAATGGCTTGATTTGTGATGTAGCTGGGGTGGCCTGTACATGACTCCTAGGTAACACTCCAACCATACTTACCATCAAGGGATGCGCCCATTGAGTTTCATACCAGTGGGATTACACCAACCTAACTGATTCTATGTATATTGACCTCCCAGGAGCTTGAAAAGTAAAAGTTCCCCTGTAGTTCACGAGAAGAAAACGGGGGAGTAATCTGTATGGAATAAGTGGAGAAGTAAAGGTTCCCCCTGTAGTTCACGAGAAGAAAACGGGGGAGTAATTTGTATGGAGTAAGTGGAGAAGTAAAAGTTCCCCTGTAGTTCACGAAAAGAGAACGGGGGAGTAAGTGGAGAAGTAAAAGTTCCCCTGTAGTTCACGAGAAGAAAACGGGGGAGTAATCTGCATGGAGGAAGTGCTCTGACTGAGGACAATTAAAAACATTTTATTTAGGCCTATCTATGGCCTTCAAAAAGTTGACGACTCTACATGTTTCGACGTTACAACGTCATCCTCAGGAGTGAATTACAAGACAATTGCCAAAGTATTTATAGCTTTTTAGTAATTTATTATTTATTTATTCAGTAATTATAGCAGTGTAAAACCAAAGTTGGTTTTGGACTGGAGTTGACCGGTTGTGTACAATCTGTCACAGTCTAGCCATTCTACACCTCGGAGCACATCTGTTTTAGCTTTCCTCAGATTTCTGTCTGTAGGTAGTTCTTCTACAGTCTTTCTTCACCAGGAATGAGATATTGTGGTTTGGATTCAAACCCAACTGGTTTTTCTCTCTCTTTTGGCTGTGCTTCTTCCACGTTTTGCCTGTGTATGCGACATCTATTTCCACACTGGGTGCAGAGTATACCAAACACAAGAGGTGGTGCAGTTTCTCACATGTGTTCTTCTCCCAACTGGCATCACACTTCATGGGTGTTCTTTGGATGCTTTTGAACAATACTTATTTCTATCCCTAGCACCGGTTTCCTTCACCTATTCAATGTGGGATTCTAGCTATACATATGAGCGGAGGTAATGTACTGTATTGGAAGTTATTATTTTCCTATACTGAAAATACATTTCCGATCGGTACTTTACCACCTCTCACATTTCCCACCCTAATCCCCACTGAAAAACTGGTGCTTTCTTTTCTGCCTATTCTTGAAGTGATAGTTCAGTAGAATCAAATAGATGGCATCACATGCTGACAACCATCCACCAAAAGGATTGCGACACATCCTCTTGATAATGGCTGGAGACGGCTTAAATGGGTAATGAAGAAAAACTTTAATATAAGTTTAACATTTAAGCCGTCTCCAGCCATTATTAGTCTCAAAGTGGGTTCCTCGTCACCGAACATCCTCTTGATCATGATGATTTACATGCGAGAAGTAGTTGAATCACAGTGACTGTGGGGTATGTGGTGGTTTAAGGCTTGTGGCATGCAAAAATATTTTTGAATATAGAGGGCAGCACTGAACGAGAATGGCTATAAATTTGAGAGTAGGTAAGTACCTATCAGTAATGTATTTTCAGTATTAGGAAATAACTTTTCTTTTAGAGATGACTTGATTGTACTGATGTAGCAAAAATTGAAAATGTTCAATTGATGATCACCTCAGCATTGACTGAAGATATATAGAATATTTTTATCAGGAAAAAAACAGCAACTTGTACAAGAGTTAGAATTTAGAGAGGATAATTGATTGAAGTATGTTTGAAAATACAAAGCATGAAATACTTGAGAAACTTTTGAAGATCATTGAAGAATGTTTTCAACACATTATTAAAGATAATTTGTACAAGTCTATAAAATATTTTGACATGAGAACTGGCCAAATACTGAATAATATGAACTTGGTACTTATAATGCTTTCAGAACCTCTCCAAAATGTAAATGCAAACTTTCCTGCTGACAATGGACTGAATTAAAAACTATGTACAACAAGACTTGTTTTTTAAATGAATATATCCAAATGATCTGTAAACAGGTGGAGTAATAGTTGACTGTAGTGATATTTCAAAACTTCATGTGATTATGGTTTTCCCTCTTTTTAACAGCTTGCTCTAGTGGGGTTAGTTGAATGTTACTTTTAGTGTTATACAGTTTTTACAGAAACTTGATAGAGACATAATCTTCTAAAATTGTGATCTTTTGAAACAAAAGAAAAATTTAAAACTGAGATAGCTTTAAATGCTGGCTGTTTTTTCACTGAATGGCACATTTCCTGTAGAACTTCAATAAACAGTGTGGATTAATTGGAGATTAGTTCAGATATAAAAACACTTGAGACCAGCAAGCTTTAGAGGGAGTCTATACCTTGAGATAAACTAGTATATGTGCCTTCTTTAAATAATGAATTTAAGCCTTGAAAAAGTTGGTTAGAACATATACCAAGTTAACAGAAATATGTGCTAAAAATTGCAGTTAGATGCAACTGTTCTTTATCTAAGAAAGATGTAAATTGACTTCAATATTTAATTTAGCTGACATGCTTTAATATTATGTAAAAATGTACTTTCTAAGGCAAAAATTGTCTTTTTGAGAAATATCAAAATTTGTTTCAGATATTGCGATTTTCAAAAATGCTAATGTTTCTTTATTTTAAGTAATTTGAATTTTATTACATTTTTACCCAATCTTGTTTTGAACAAGATGGTATAGTTTTCTTATTATAGTGAATATGTATGACCAGTGGTGTAACTACAGGGCCAGGGAGGGTGTGGTTGCTACACAGGTACTTTTTTATTTTCATCTTTGATATTTGAATTAATAAAAAGAAAACATATGGTGTTTAATGTTATGTAAATTAATGAAATAACATTGAACAAAAAAATGGTCTTTATGTGTATTTCTTGCACTTAAAAATTATAATTTAAAATTTGCTTGTAAAGTAGCTTCAGTTATATAGTCAAGGGACATTTGTTTTTCTTTTCTTGGACTGCAGCAGCAGCCTTTTTTTTTTCTTCTAAGGAAATATAATGACCATTTAGTTTAAAACCCACACTTAATGAATTTTATTTGATGTGTTTCAAGATGCAAGATGGTAGAAAAGAACCACTTAGTGAATTGGGAACATCAACTGATCAGTCGAGAGATAGATGCATTGACTCATTGCATGGAAGTGAGGACAGGTTGGCTTGGACTTTTGGATTTCTTTTCAGCTGTAGTATAGTATCAGGTATTAAGGATAGGCCACTGTGTATTTGGGTGTCAAATGGTGCCACATTGAAGAGCAAAATACAATAGTTCATTTAAAAAAAAAAGGATTTCCTTGTGGTGTGACAATTTCTTATAGAAATTTAAATGAAAGGAAAGAATTATACTTCCTAGTACAGTACACTCTTGTATATGAAAACTTTTTCATAGTGTAATGAAACTGATATATGAAGAAACCAAGGTTTATTTAGTCTTTTAAGCATGTTGTCACAGTTTTTACACTTTAGCACATTGTAGACTTTTTTTAACCATTATAGTATAGCTGGGTGGTTAGTGAAACTTGATAATAGATTCATCAGGTTTATTAACTGATTATTCTTATGAGACTTGGATAGTTGTAATAATCAAAAGTAGTAGTAATCAGAAACAGAAATTATGATTAGTTGACACTAGTTGGTTAGGCTTAACAACCTTGAACTAATCGAAAATAATAATGAGAAATCATAATGGCAATATTTCGATTGCTTGAATTGGGAATATTGAAAGCATTAATAACTGGAAATGCTTCAATTAGTGGATTATCTTTGTTACATTGTTAGTTCTGATTAATTAATTATCTAACATGACACTAATTGATGTAATTGATGCTTGTAAGTAATCACTTAATTAAATTAATTGCCCAATTTTACATTTTAGTATTTTATTTATATAAGTCGAACGTTTTGTAGTTACTCATTCCATCATTAGCACAGTCTAAAAACAAAGTCTATTGGTGTATATATATATATATATATAAGTAGATGTTAGGTAGAATCCAAATGGTATTTGAGAACAACAAGCTTAGAAACCATTTAGAAGAATGAGCAATGAAATAAATACATATAACCTACGAAGTAAAGTATATAATAGAATCAAAATGTTAATATTAGTGTGAAATGAACTATAAGGCCAACAAATTTATGCATAAAAAGGCAAACTGAACATAAAATACTAATACATTAGCCACAATTATGGTAAACCAAATACAGGCCCGGCATGGCCAGGTGGGTAAGACGCTCGACTCGCGCTCTGCGGGTCGCGGGTTCGCGCCCCCATCCCAACAAACATTCTCGCCCTTTCAGCCGTGGGGGCGTTATAATGTGACGGTCAATCCCACTATTCGTTGGTAAAAGAGTAGCCCAAGAGTTGGCGGTGGGTGGTGATGACTAGCTGCCTTCCCTCTAGTCTTACACTGCTAAATTAGGGGATGGTTTGCGTCAAGAAGGGCATCCGGCCGTAAAAACCCTGCCAAAACCGAAAATAGCGACCCCGTATAGATACGGGAAAAGCTACGGAAGAAGAAGAAGATGGTAAATCAAATACAAGTTAATGGATGTTTATTACTATACCAGTTAGTACAGCTTTAGTTGGAGGTGTCTGTAGATTACTTAGATCATGATGGTGTTTTACAGTTAAAAATATTTTTTTAATGAAAAGTTTAAGGTCTACAGATCTCGTTGTAATTAAGGTAAAGTTGTTTGTTGACCTGTCGTTTCTTCATGTGATCAAGTTTCTGAGTGACAGGTTTTTACTGGATAAAGACCTGTTTTAATTGATTCTCCTAATTCATAGCTATTCATAGTTTTTAAATGGTGTTTATTTTTCCCAGTGTATGTGACTTTTTATTATATTTACACATACAGCAATGAATGGTAAAAATTAGCTTTAACCCGAGTGAGTGTAGGAGTGCATCCTTAATTTCTGAATGTGGTACCAGTTAAAGTAACCCCAGATCTGGATTGTATCAGGAAATATTTTCTTTAAAATAATTATTCTTTCTGAAATATAATTTATGTCGAAATAAGATAAATTTGAAACAGTTATGTTTGTTTTAACATTATTGTGGCTACATACACTAGTTATGTTTGTTTTAACATTATTGTGGCTACGTACACTATTAAAACAAACATAACTAGTGTACGTAGCCACAATAATGTTAAAACAAACATAACTAGTGTACGTAGCCACAATAATGTTAAAACAAACATAACTAGTGTACGTAGCCACAATAATGTTAAAACAAACACAACTAGTGTATGTAGCCACAATAATGTTAAAACACACATAGTGTACGTAGCCACAATAATGTTAAAACACACACATTATTGTGGCTACGTACACTAGTTATGTTTGTTTTAATAATATTGACTAGATGAAAAGCAACTACTCAACAGTACCCGTCACCAACACCTTGGTGTACATCAATCAAATACTTCGATTGAACCATCACTCTTAGAACATACTTACGACCCCCAAAGAGCAGAACATGATTTTATACAATAGGCTTAGATTACAATGGCAAATACGTGTGTAAATGCAGAAAATGTGCAAGTATGTAATGAAAATATTCTTTTTTTTCTGTACAGATTTATATGGTAACAAAATAAGAAATTTTCAGTTGGATGAGAAAATATGACACAAGATAATTCTTACTTCTCATATATTTCCTTTAAATATATCAGTTTTTTTATATTACCTGTGAAGAATATAAATGTTCTAAAATATTGTATGGTGATGTAGACCAAGGTGTTGGTGATGGGTACTGTTGAGTAGTTGCTTTTCATCTAGTCGATCAGTCAAGATTAGTGATGTAGACCAAGGTGTTGGTGATGGGTACTGTTGAGTAGTTGCTTTTCATCTAGTCAATCAGTTAAGACTAGTGGAGATATTCCTTGTGTTGAATATCCAGAACAAACAAACATATTGTACGTTAACATATCTTCAGTGGTTTTAAATTGTAGTCTTAAAAAATATAAATGTTTATAGTTTCTTTATGGAATACTTACAAAGTCACTGTATTTCCATTGTGAGTTCTTATACCTTTTTAAATGTTTGTTTTTTATAGACAAGATTCTATAATCCTAAAAAGTGAATCAGGGCCTCTAGGTATCCATGTTATCTCAGACTATGACCTGCATGGAAGGTAAGTGTAGTCAATATTTTTTTTCATGAATTATATGTAAAATTTATATATATTAAAAAAACGAGAAAAAATACTGTTTATAGAAGGAATAATTATAATTTTAAAAATATACAGGAGAAGACATATATTTAAAGTTTTAACTTATTGCTGTTTTAAATTTTTAACTTTTTTTGAAATTCTCCATGGAAAATTGTGATTTGAAAAAAAATCTTGTACTCTGTAGTTGTATGAACTTTTGGAGTATGTACATTCGTTATAAATATTAATGTAATAACTTCTTGTGATAGAGGTATGGGAATCGTGGTTCAGGGAATTGAACCTGGTGGCAGGATTGATCAAGATGGCAGACTCTGTGTAGGAGATCGTATCGTTGCAATCAATGGAAAAAGTTTGCTCCACATTAGTTTTCAGAAAGCTCAAGAGTTATTCAAAGATGCATTAAAAGAGCCAGAAATAAGAATTCAACTATCCAAGAGTTCTGTTCAAAGAAATATAGAGACTCCTCTTCTTCCTTTCTACCCAAATTCCGTGGTCTGTAGGGAGTTTTCAAGAAATGAAGATGAAACAACAGATTTGGTGGAGAGACAGAAACAAGGTATATCTACCAAAGTGAAATCTTAGGCTACAATAGGTTTTTCTTGGATAAATGATAATAAAGAATAAATTGTCACGTTTAAAAGTAACTTTTTCTAGCTTATTTTATGCAATTTTTTGAGCAGATATCCTTTGCCAGGCAGTTCGCGGTAGAGGAGAGTAAATGTCAGATACAATATAAAGAGATACTGAAAAAAATGTAGACATGTATTTTGCAGGTTCTAGAGGCTATGCATATACAATACGGTAACTGTACGATGGACAAAAATATTTTTATTCTCCACATTAATGTCTCTTGCCAGAGTCCGAGTTACATTAATGTTGTCATTTTACAGACATATCTTAAATACAAATACTTTTGGAACACATCTGCCTTTTTTGTGTACAACAGACTTGTACATTTTACTAAAAGCTTGCCACATTTTGTGTAGATATGCGTAATGAATTTGGAATTATAGCCAGTATTTCTCCTTCAGTACTGGGACAGACCCCATGCACATCCAGTTATGGAATTATAGCTAATATTTCTCCTTCAGTACTGGGACTGACCCCATGCACATCCAGTTATGGTATTGTAGACAGTATTCATCCTTCAGTACTGGGACCGACCCCATGCACATCCAGTTATGGAATTGTAGACAGTATTCATCCTTCAGTACTGGGACCGACTCCATGCACATCCAGTTATGAAATTGTAGCCAGTATTAATCCTTCAGTACTGGGACAGACCCCATGCACATCCAGTTATGAAATTATAGCCAGTATTCATCCTTCAGTACTGGGACTGACCCCATTTACATCCAGTTATGGAATTGTAGACAGTATTCATCCTTCAGTACTGGGACCGACTCCATGCACATCCAGTTATGAAATTGTAGCCAGTATTAATCCTTCAGTACTGGGACAGACCCCATGCACATCCAGTTATGAAATTATAGCCAGTATTCATCCTTCAGTACTGGGACAGACCCCATGCACATCCAG